ACAGCAAGAAGACTGGGTAGAGGTTTTTGCGCAGGAGTGTCCCAACTTGGCATATGAGCTTTTCACTCAGCTTCTTACATACTACTTTGAGATGTCCTTTCCATCAAGAAAGGTGTCTGTAGGGCCACCAAGAAAGAAATCCAAACCCAAAATAACTATGTCTCCTGAACTAGAGTACATGAAAAATAGAGTGTCACTTTTCAATATGCTATCAAAAAATGACAGCAACTATACTGAAATATGTAGAACAGTAAACAGAGAATATAGGGAAGAGTTACGTTCTGTGACTAGAAAATACTATGATGAATTGGTCACTCATTCTAACAACAAGTCTAAAACAACCTGGAAAATTATTAATGACCTACAAAAAAAACGTCCCAATGAACATGAACTGATTTTAGTTGAAAACTATATTCAATATAAGGGTGAAACTCTGGCTGAAAAATTCAATACTCACTTTACAAAACCTTTGTCCGAAAATTTCTCAATTGATACCAATTTTCTCGAAAGTAATATTCCACTCAATACATCAACTTTTTTTATGTCTCCCATCACTGAGAGGGAATTAATACAATTAGTTGATAAACTCAAAAACTCCAACTCGTACGGGACTGATCAAATATCAAACAAGTTGATTAAATATTGCTCATCTGAGCTGTGTTCTATACTTACCTTCCTAATGAATTTGTCAACAGAAAAGGGCATTTTTCCTAATAATTTGAAATTAGCGAGTGTATCCCCTATATATAAAAAAGGCGATACTAATGATCTAAATAATTACAGAGCAATAAGTATTCTCTCCAGCATCTCTAAACTATACGAATTGAATTTAAAGGAACAACTAAACGATTACTTTACCTCGATGAAATTATTATCACCATCCCAACATGGTTTCACGACTAATAAAAGCACTGATACAGCTCTATGTGACTTTCACAGTCAAATTATAACTGCCTTGGACAAAAAAAAGTGTGTGATAGGATTATTCATTGATTTTTCACGTGCGTTCGATTGCGTGAATCACAGCCTTTTACTGGAAAAACTATCGAGATATGGAGTTAGAGGGTTGCCGCTAAATTTACTGACCTCTTATCTGGAAAATAGGAGACAAGTAGTAAAAATTGGGGAGAACATAAGCTCTGAAAAACAAATTACTGACGGCGTACCGCAGGGATCCATTTTGGGACCTTTCTTATATCTTGTTTTTGCTAATGATTTATTGGTTTATCTGAATAGAAATTCTGCCACTCATTGCATATGTTATGCTGATGACACTAATATATTAGTAATTGAAGATAACTTGAACTCTCTGAAAAATACAGCTGAAAGCACATTCAAAAAAGTAATCACTTGGTCTGAGAAAAATAATTTGCAAATGAATAAAACAAAAACCAATATGTTACAGTTCATGATAAAAGGACAACAAAATGAGGTGAAACTGTTTGAGAGTACTGACTTGGAATTGAATTCAGTAACAACTACAAAAATGTTAGGTGTCGTCTTCGATAACAAATTGCAGTGGATGTCACAAGTCGATAATTTATGTAAAAAATTAAGAAAAGTCTGCTATTCTCTCAGGTATCTCTCAAATTATTGTAGCAAAAAAATCCTGTTAACCCTATATTATGCTAATTTCAACTCCCATCTCAGGTACGGTATATTAAACTGGGGCACAAGTTCCTCTGCAGGACGAGTGTTCATCATCCAGAAGTATGCTGTAAGGATCATTGCGAAGTTGGGATTTAGGGATTCTTGTAGGGAATCGTTTCAGAATATGAAGATACTTACAGTTGCAGGAATATACATCCTTGAGGGTTGCACATATGTATACCGCAATAAAAACAAACTGGCTGCTAATAGATCAGCACACAATTATGAAACACGTAGTGCCTACTTAATTCTCCCCAGTCAACATCGCACTGTATTCTATCAAAAGAGTTTAGAATACATGGGATGCAAACTATACAACAAACTTCCTGATGACATTAAAGTTTCAGGAAATGTATACATTTTTAAGAAAAAAGTTAAAGAACTACTATTGTCAAAAAATTGCTATACTGTAGAGGAGTTCCTGTCATGATTTGCCATTTGAATGTGACGTATGTATGTTTATATACATGTACAATTGATTTTATTTATACATTTTTGTGATTTGTAATATGTGATGTATATGTGATGTTTCTATATTTATATCCAGTTTTATTTATTTATATTTGTCATTTTATCTATATATTTTTAATTCTTAATGCTACATGAATGTATATTTTTGAATTTTTTTACTGACGTTTTACTCTTTTTTATTTGTATTACCACGCTGTTGGTGTGCAAACTAATTTGAGAAAATAAAGAACTTATTATTATTATTATTATTATATAAACCAAAAAAGGACAATACTTCATCTGATTCAGATCAAATTCAAATTTTCTATTTGTATTGTTTTCTGGTTTTTATTTTTACTATTCGTTACTGTTTTTTATATACTCTAATCTCATAGGTACCTATGTAAATGTATTTTGTGATATTTTTGAGTATTTTTAAATTGAGAATTAGGAGTATGATTATTTTTCTCTGAGAATGTTTGGTATTTACTGATGAAATAAAAATCGAACTGACATCCCTGTGAGTTGATAGCAACTGTGATTTGCTGTTGTCAAATTAATTATTCACGAAATCCGATAGATTTCACGTGTGAATAGGACCGTGATGTTTGAGGTTGACGAAAAAATTGAATATGCACCTCGGCGAAAAACTGTCTATTGTCTCTCCTAATTGCTAGGAAAGAATAGTGAAAAAGGAACAACAAAAATACAGAACAAATAAAATATAACAGAGGTATATGAAAAAAGTATTGTCCTTCTTTGGATTATGCATATGGTCAGTACCTATCTGTTAATTCATTACTTATTTTGTAAAATGAATTTAAACAGAGCGTGCCGATTTATCATGCAATTTAGAAGTGTATGCAATTAACTAAAGATCAATAAGAATATAGGGAATTATAATAATAAATAAGTGTCAAAATATTTTTCAGTATGTTATGAAATGTTTCAGTAGACCAGTAGATCAATATGCAAATCAGGAGATCTACTAAAAATTTAGTAGAACTGGCAACCCAGCAGCGGACGAAGTGTCTGCAGATGAAAAGTACTTGCCTTCGGGAATAGTCGGTTTTTTGTACGGAAATTTGTAAAATTTGTATATCACTACTTCAAAGTTGGAAACCAACTCCCCAGAAGTCGAAAGGGGTTAGGAAGAGCGGGACCTACAGATTATAGTGGAATTCGAGCCACTTCTAGGGCTTCGAGGTTAGAAATAGAACGTAAAACGTGATTTTTTGTAGAGGTTGACGAAAAAATTGGTTTTATAACATTTGGAGAAAAAATTATATACCAATGTTTCACACGGCAGCAAATGTAGATTGACTGCCATGGCTGAATTCTTAGCCTGGCTATGCTCGGCTATGAACTATCAGCTGCGGCAGTGAATCTACTAATTTGCTGCCTAGTAAATAAATGAACAAGTATGTATTTTTTTTTCTATCGAGTGAAAATGTTAGACTTTATTAATATTGGTCTTTGTTAAACAACAATAGTTATTTATTATACAAGGGAAAAAAGTAGTAGATTTTAGCTCCAGGTTGTGTTGTCTCCCGACGCGTAGCGGAGGGAGACAAAAAACCGTGAGCTAAAATCTAATATTTTCCCCGTGTATAATACACTATTTTTTTCTGTGACAGAAGAAAGGACGAATCAATATTGAGAAGATATTACATTATTTTGAAATCTGAAAATTATCGACGTGAAATTTTGTTTTTAACAGTAGGGACACCTGCGTTGTAGGCATCTTTATCATTCTTTTGAAGTAATCAAATACCTGATGTCACTTCTCTCAGTCTAATTCTGTGATTTGATTTAAAAAAATTGCGAATTTAGTAGTTGTTTAGTAATATACGTAACCGCGAAGTCGAATGGAAGATGAAAGGACTTGCAGTTCTTTCTCGGAGACGGTATTATTGACTCATTTTTCGGAACTATAGCACAACAAAAGCCATCAACAGTGTATATATATGTGATATATATCTGGGAAAAAAGTACTCACTTCTTTCCCACGGGAAAAAAGTAGTTTATGAAAAGTGACATTTTATAACCTGCTAACAGAGATGAAATGCCAAACTTGTTTCCCGTCACAGAAAAAAATAAATTTGTACACATTTGGTAATCAATGAATTTGAATATTATACAGGATGAGAATAAATGAGTGCGAAAAATCTCAGAGGGTGATCCCTTGTCAAACTGTATGAAGAAAAAAAGCATTAAATATAAACGTTTGTCCTAAGTTGTTTCATTTTCGAGATACAGGGTATCAATGTTTCCATAAAAATATCTTTATTTACCGATTACTCAAATGTCTCCTTGTCAATTCCAATGAAACTATTTAGACGATTTTGTACAGTAACATATGGAGCTTTTTTGGTGTAATTAGACTCGAAATAATAATTCCGAAATAATAATTCCAGTGGTGTCGCAGTGGGCTGTTACTTCAAGTTTTATATTTTTATTAGATTGAACAATTGAAAATACAACTTTCTTGTCTCCTGTGTTACGTTTGTATCTCGCTTAGTTTTTTGAGGAAACATTAAACATTCTACTCCAAATCTTGATGTAAGTGCACTCAAGGCAATTACTCAATATAACCTAAATAATTATTATTCGGAAATGTTGAGACTCTGTCAGTCACCAACCAGACAGCTTAAACAGGGAATCATGAAATAACAACAATAGTTCCAACTTCAACATACTGTATCTCAAAAACGAGGTAAAGCAACACATGTTTGTATGAACTTTTTTCCTATAATATGACTATTCATTCACACCTGCATGTTTGATAATGGAGTAACTACATTTATTCATTTGTTTGAATATTTTCTCATTCGCAGGAAAATTAAATATTTCGAAAAGTTTGTATCAGCGATAGTTAAACATATTTCTTTAAAACTAACCTTATCTCAGCTTTACGTGCGAAAGCTTTTCCACATAAGCCGCATATATAAGGCTTGAAGCCGGTGTGTACGATTGAGTGTACCTCAAGGTTATGTGACGATCCGAAATGCTTCCCGCACAAGTGGCAGGAATATTCTTTCATGCCTAGATGAGTACGTTCGTGCTGTAAAAACGAATCAAATAAGGTAATGCATAACTATACAGGGTGTGACAAAGGTTGATGCTAAATCGTACCTCTATTCGCGAAAGAGAAAAAAGCGTACGCCACCTAGCGCGACTTTTCGAAGCTGAAAAGCGGTCTGTTCACATTTGATTTTTGTTTTTGCTTGTTTCTCACAACCAATAAAACAAGCCTCTCAGAAGTGTTTGGGTTATTTGTTGCCGTCAGGTGAGGAGATGTGCTATTTTCTGACGCGAATAAAGTCTTGCGGTTTTCGAGTTATTCGAACATTTTTACGCAACAATGAATCATGACAGCTTATTGGTCGATATTTTTTTCTTATACCAGATTATGTGTTTGTTTTATTACAAATAAAACACCTCTACGTTCATTCCAGTGACATTTATAACCACATTCAATGATACTTTTCATAATTTAATGAAAACATCCATTTCTTGTAAACTGAGCTTTCATTTTTCATTTAAACTAAACTGGTCAACATTGGTAACGTCGTGCCTGAATTCAAAATAGAATATCTCACGAATATCCTTACCAATTTGAAATCGGTTTTCACTGATGATTAGCCTAATCTCTTGACAGTTTGTTGTGGCAATATGGAACTTCTGTTATTTCAGATAACATTGCTGCTGGGTGATAATTGAATGGGTGTTAAATTGCATTGTGGTCGTCACCTTACTGTTTGAACAGATAATTTTTTATATTATTTTTCTCACCTGCATCCTCTTGATTGGTACTTTTTCTCGAAATGTTTTCGGAATTTTCAAATTCAGAGCTTTGATAATCATGTTATGAATATTCATTCAAAATGATGCATTTTTTCGACGATTAATTGAATGAAATTGGAAGTTGGAAGAATCAACGTTGTATGTATAGTCGTCGGATATGTGATTGTGTTCGAACACAGAAAATTCTGAAGAAGTCTATACAAAGTGATACAGGAAATAGTGAATGATGGAATGGAGGATAACGTAGTCTTCAGTAGATGAAACATAATTTTCTCTGTGTTACTAGTGAAATAATGGAGTGTTACTTCGTTATGAGGATGTCTGGTGTCTGACCTCGAAATGGTTTTGTAATTTTTCGGATCGAAGGTCATATAATGAAGGTACGTTACAGTTGAAATCTGAAAATACTAAAGATGAACCATTCTTATGATAGCAATGAAGTCGGATAAATTCTATTCAGAAGGGGCGGTATCAATGAGCGAAAAGGTAAAGTACTTTTTGTTGTGTAGCGAAGGGTACAGATCGGTAATGCAGAATATATTCGATGTTTTTATTCAAGAAAGAATGTCGCATCAGGGTCGGATTAAAATATTTTTATTTATAAGCCTTCAAAATATTGAAATTTCCGATTTTCCTGCTTCGGAGAGGAGGATGTTCCTAGATAGCTCAACAGCTTGCAGATGGATAAACTCTAGCAGCTATAACAGAGTTTCGCTAGCGTAGCCTACGAACCATCAAGACACATTAGAATATCCATACATATCTATGTATGGAAGCATGTGAATATCTCGGTAACCAGTCGTTGGATTTTTTTGAATTTATGTGCAGTGTGATTTCAAAATGTGGCGGATTTGAAAGTGTTATAGCCAATGTTGCCACTTTTTCAGTTATTCCGGAATTTTATTAACTTCCTCATTTTGAATAAAACACCCTGTACTTTATTGGATTTTCAGATACTCCTTGAAGAGCTGATTCCATCGATCTATCACACTTGGGGTCTAGCGGGAATGATTACATAGGTATAGGGTGTTTAAAATCTAGATTTTTCAACTTCAGGATTTTTTTCTGTCGAAACTATCCATTATCGATCAAAACCGCTCTAATATTCCAATCTTTACTTTTGATTTACTATCTACTGACATTTAAATGGAACAGATACAGAGGGTGATCAGAATTCTGAATCTTGAACCACCCTGTATTTGTTCCAATTAAATGTCAGTAAATTTTAAATCAAAAGAAAAGATAGGAACATTGGAGCGGTTTCGATCGATAATGGATAGTTTCGACACAAAAAATCCTAAAGTTGAGAAATCTAGATTTTAAACACCCTATACCTATGTAATCATTCCCGCTAGGCCCCCAAGTGTGATAGATCGATGGAATCAGCTCTTCAAGGAGAATCTGAAAATTCAATAAAGTTCTGGGTGTTTCATTCAAAATAAGGAAGTTAATAAAAAATCCGGAATAACTGAAAGAGTGGCAACATTGGCTATAACATCTCCAAATCCGCCACGTTTTGAAATCACACTGTACATAAATTCAAAAAAATCCAACAACATGTTACTAAGATATTCACCTGTTTCCATACATATCAGCGACCCTGTATAACTCTCTTAATAATAAAGAAAATTCACTGTGCCTTTTTTATGATCTGAGTCGCGCATTTGATACGATTGACAGAAGTCTACTGTTACATAAATTCGAGGCCGTAGGTGTCCGTGGGGTACCCCTTGACTGGGCAAAATCTTATTTATCCAATCGAACGCAAGTATCAATGTTTAATAACATTAAATCACAATCAAAAGAATCCAGCCTAGGAGTACCCCAGGGATCGATCCTGGGTCCCTTATTTTTCATTATATTTACATCTGATATTAAAAAGTGTTGTGACATTCCTGATCAAATTGTATTATATGCTGACGATACCAATATCCTAATGTCCCATAAGGATACAGGTCAACTAGTAACAAATAGTAACGCAGCTTCTGATGAGTTTCATAAGTATTGCCCTCAGAATGGCCTCCAACTAAACGTTTCAAAAACATATTTTATGCGATTTATCCCAAAAAATGTATCTCCAGATTATAATCTCCACTTACATATTCAAGGTAAACCAATTCAAAACACAGACGCTATAAAGTTTTTGGGTGTAACACTTGACCCGAAACTGACATGGGAGCCTCATAAAAAATCAATTTGTTCAAAGTTGAGTACATGCTGTTACATAATAAGAAATTTGAGAGAAACAGTATCTTTTGACGTATTGAGACTGTTGTATTTCGGTCTGGTACAGTCTGTCTTACAATATGATCTGATATTCTGGGGATCCTCATCACACTTTGAAAAGGCATTCATTGTACAGAAAAAAATTTTGAGAGCTATGTTCAATGTCCACCCATCAACTAGTTGTAGTGATTTGTTCACCAGAGCACGAGTAATGACATTACCTAGTTTATATATTTATCGCTTGATCCTCTATATTCGAGATAATATACAGAGGTTTGAGAAGAATGAAGATGATCACTTGCATGATACAAGAATGAAGTATAATCTACATCAAGCTTACTCACGTTTACAGGTCTGCCAAAATTCACCTAATTACATAGGGGTTGAATTGTACAATAAATTCAAACAAATACACAGGAATTATGAAAACAGGGATAAGCTATTCGAAAGAGAACTCAAAAATGTCTTGCTTGAAAATGCTCTCTATACAGTAGAACAGTTCCTCAGTATTTCTTCATGAAATTTCTTTTGATCTGTTTGTGAATGTATAGTAGTGATGAATAATTTGTGATTATATTTTATTGTGCTTATGTATGTACCAATGCATGTATTTAGACTAGGCTGATAAGTGTTATGCATTGTAATTTGTCTAACCTTTTATGCTGCAATAAATATTCTAAAATATTCTATAAGGCATAAGGCCCATACTAATAATCCAAAATGTCAGCATGAACACACATAATATCGCAACTTCCAGTACCTGAGTGAGATTTTGCTGGCTCAAGAACGACTTGCCACATTGCGCGCACTTGAACGGCCTCGGCCTGGCCTCGTGCGTCTTCTCGTGCGCCTTGAACGTGTACTTGGACGCGAAGTCCTTGCCGCAGGCGGCGCACACGTACGGACGCACCCCCAGATGGATGTTGGCGTGCTCCTCGAGCAGGTTCTTGCTGCTGTACCGCTTGCCGCACGTCTCGCACTCCCAGCCTTTGGTCTGGGGATAATGCATGCGCCTGAAATAGTCGTATACAGGGTGATCAGTTAAGGGTTGCGAGCGGCCATATCTAATATATAAAATTCTCATGTCCCGGTAGGTATGAGAATCGGTCGTAATCTATTTTTCAAATCGAAAATTCAAGAGGGATCCAATTGGCGGACGAGTATTGTCATCCGATTTCATTCAAAATTGGTATTTGGGAATTTTCGGGGTCGGAGATTATAGATCGTTCGTCAAATTTTGAAATTCAAAATGGCGGATCCAATATGACGGACGAGTTTTGTAATTATGGTCAGATTCTCTTCAAAATTGGTATTTGGAAGTTTTAGAGGTCGGAGATATGAATCATTTGTCAAAATGAAGAAATTCAAAATGGCGGATCCAATATGGCGGACGAGTTTTGTAATTATTGTCAGATTCTATTCAAAATTGGTATCGGGTGGTTTTCGGGGTCGAAGATAATGATTCTTTTGTAAAAATTTGAAAATTCAAGATGGCGGATCCAATATGGCAGACGAGTTTTGTAACTATGATCCGATTCCATTCAAAATTTGTATCTGGATGATTTTCGGGTCGGAGATTATGATTCCTTTATCAAAATTAGAAAATTAAAGATGGAGGATCCAATATAGCGGACGAGTTTTGGCCGTTCTGGCCATTCTATCGGTCCTCTTCGTCCAATCTACTTTTCTGTGAATACCTCGTCCAAAAATTGTGGAACTTCTCATGCGAAATGGGGAGGTGCCCCATCTTGTTGAAACCATATTTGATGGATGTCAATGTTCAAACTCTTGCAATTTAGGAACCACGTTTCTTCTCAGAATTGTAAGTATTTTTGACTAGTCAGGTTTCCATCGATAAAAAAAGGTCCAATAATTGGGTTGTTAAGAATACCTGCCCAAACGTTAATTTTCGGTGGATGCTGCGTATGTAATTCTTTCATCCATCCAGTGAGGGTTAGTTCTACTCCAAAACCTTCAATTGTGCCTGTTTACCTGCCCATTTGAACGAAAATTAGATTCATCACTGAATAATATTTTGTTCTTGAAATCTGGATAATCGTTAATTTTATTCATTATGACTTCAGAAAACTCGATACGGCGGTCAGGATCATCTTCCAAATGTTCTTGAAAGTACATTAATTTGAAAGGCTTAATTTTTTCTTGCTTTAAAATCCTGTAAATTGAAGATATACTTACGTCTTCCGGTAATTTTTGTTTTTGTTCTATTATTGTAGTGGCCGTTATAGGTCGATCAGTTTCCGGAATAGTCTTTACATTCTCTGTTTGTTGGTATCTTTTTATGGTTTCGCAAACTGTAGATTTTTCAATTTGCTTCTCTGGATGTACAGCATAAAATAATTCACGAACTTCTTGATAGCTTCTTATTTTATCGCCGTAACCACGATAGATTAATATTTTAATCCGTTCAGCTTCACTTAACAAGAAAACCATTTTATTTCGATAATAATTCGTGTAAGTTTCAGAATAATGACAAATAGTTCGTTGGTTGACGACAACAATAAAAGTTGTTGAGCTGTTTCCAAAGGCTACTTGCTATTTTATACCTTATAATTCTAACGAAATTTTATTAGAGTTCTGTTGACATCGGTTGAGTAAGTACATACGAATTTTCAGGACTTGAATTCGATTCAAGATTCGAACTTAATCAATAATGTTTGATTTGCTTCAGTTCAAAAAAATGTGTAACTTCGTGGTATCAAATGAAATGCGGAAAATTTTAAAAACGGAATACTTTAGTTAGATTTAGCGGAAACAATTGTAAATTTGACAACGTTGTAAATGGTATTTTTATATCAGATTTGCCAGCAGATTTCAAATAAATTAATTTTCATTGTAATATTGCCACGATCTCTTGAGATACTGACATTTTGTTATATTTTTTAACGAAATGTTGAATTACCATATCAAAAAAATTTAGGGGATTATAATTTGATATTATGGAAACATAGTGATTTGAACACGACAAATCGAATGCGCTGAAAATAAACATAACATTACATTTGAAAAAATGAAGTTGGGGGCTTTATAGGAAACAGTGGGATATTGGCAACGTTGCAAATATTATTTTCAGATCCGGCACTACTGATAACCATCGTATGCCAAATTTCATAACTTTATGTCAGTGTTTCATATTTGAATGTACATGCGATACTTGCAGATAGAGGACACTTTGATAGTTTCGAATCACCCCCTATTGATGTGTCTACTGTCTTTTATAACTGAGATACAGGACGTTACCAAGAGTAGAGGTGGGGGCATACTTATTGCTACATGTAAATGTTATGTGACTAGTATGATCAATATTGAGAATCATGGTGTAGAACAACTATTTGTCAGCTTGAAACATGGACATGGATAAGAAATACATCATTGGATGAGTGTATATTCCTCCCAGATCCAGTCAGGCTATCTACGAAAACCACATGGATAGTATCTTTGAAGTGTGTACTTCACACCACGACTATGAATTAGTCATATTTGGTAACTACAACGTACTAGATTCAAAATCGGATTCCTTTATCTTTCGCTGCATTTTTTGTGCATTTTACAACAGCACAATGTGCATGCTTGAATTAATGAATAGCCGAAAAACGCAATTAATATGCCAAAATAATTGTGAAAAACTATTTTAATTCTCTGTAAACAAATAAGAAAAGTGAGGTTGTGTTTCAATGTTTCACATCCAGGGTCGTTCCATGCGCCAATTTAGGAGCAGCACTGTTAATTGGAACGCAACAGCGAATCGTGCAGGACTATCTCCAGCCGATGCTCCGAAACTTTACAATATTCAATTCGTAAATTAAGCACCTCTGTACAAATTTCCTTGCGGAAGGCGGAATGCGATTTTTATTAAATTTTCAAGATCAAATTTCTCGTTAATTAGAAAATTAGCAAAAATCTGATATCATGGAAATATCCGTTAGCCTATATTTTATTGATTTGCTGATTATATGAACTCATTTCAAAAACATCTCGTATAGATATGGAAATGAAAAGAGATATCCTTAAATTTCTTTTCACTCCACCCCGTATATACCTACTATCGATATCGGAATTAGTCATACTTGTTCGGAAATTAATCGGTTGAAAGAATGACGTAACTAAATAATCATTTGAATGATGATTGTAGTATATGACTAATATGACTAATTCAACTTATATCTGTTATCACCGAATGCCGAGCAGGGATGCGTAATCGATGTAAAAGAGGTAGTAGATGTTCGACATTCGAACAGTGAAGACCGTGATAAAAGTATTACTGCAAACAGTGTTTTATTACAAAAGTGAAGGTTATTACAATGATTCGAACCAATTAGCAGTCTCGTTCTAGACTTCATCGCGTATGGTCGATTCAAGTTATAGTAAAAAAAGAACTCGAAATATTTAAGAGTGGAAAATTGTAATTCTTATTCGGCCTAGTGATTGTATTTTCATTTGAGTGTATGAAAGTTGTATTTTTTCAAGATGGTAAGTGTTTTTGTATAATATATATGGAGGCATTCATCACGTGGTTGGTATTTTGCTTCGGTATATTTCCATATAACGATGAAAAACTTTTGAAATTCGCATTCTTCAACTATTTATACAGAGGATCTAGATGGACATTAATGCAACAAGTTGCGAAAATATTCGCTTTTTTGTTATGAGTTCACACAAATATTTTAAAATTTCGTATTCATTTAGGATGGAATAATTCGCTTATACAGAGGTACTAAAAATACGTATTGAAATGAGTTGCAAAAACATTCGATATTTTGTAGAGACTTATTTATAGGTAGGTATACGAAACTATTCAAAATTTGGTATACCATTCTTCAACACATGAAATTTAATGGAATCGTATCAAAATCCAAAATGTTAAAAATAATGTATACTTCGGTACTAATAGCCATATACAGGGTGTAATTCAATAGATGGCTGAAAATCAAGGATATGGTTCCTTAGCTCATTTTAGGAACAAAAGTTCACATCAACATATGCTCTAACCTCTTAACTTTCGAGCTATAGATTGTTGAAATTTTAAGCAAAAATTCGTTTTCTTATCATAACTTCAATACCGTCCTAGATATTTTCATGTACATTGTACATGCATCTACTGAGTATCAATATTTTTTCTGTAGGAGATTTTTCAATTTTTCTACCAGTGGCGTCTGTATGGAAAATATCCTGGAGATTTTTTGAAAAAATATTGTACGCCCAAGTGATTAATCCGAGAACAAAGATCACTTTTGAATTCCTCATTTATTTTGCAACATTTTGAATGTCTGGATTTTTCCGTCCGACAAACCGTTTTCGCTTAAAAAAAATAAAACCATATTCATGCATTTGCGGCATACGAAATCAAATTGAACTAGTGTACTAGTGCCCTATTTTGTATTTTGAATAATGACATTTGATCGATTACGTTGCGGTCTTATTGTGACAAGTATTCATAAACGTTTTTTACATTGTGAAAGTTCCTTTGATCAATGAAGAGAAAATAACATTTCAACTCCCTATATAGTTCGAAAGTTAAAAGGTTTATAGGGCATCTGTTCATATGAGCTTTTTGTCTGAAAATGAGCCAAGGAATCATATCTTAGCAAGTTGCAGAATGGACGTAGAGTGCGGATAGCTCGCCATTTTATTTTTTTGTTGACACCCTATATTTCATGTTTCTAATCGGAAGAACTCTCTCTTCTGATTTAAAACATATACTTTATTGAGGTTATCTTTGTCAGGTTTCGAAAAATATAGATTTTTTCGTAAAAATCGATTTATATTGAAAACGGCAATATTAAGGTATAGGACATACTTCGTAAAAATTGAGAGTAATTTGGATCTGGAACCGTTAATGTAAAAAAATACAGGGTGTTCTATTTGAAATAATAAAGTTTCGGCATCTTCGATCTCGTCAAGTTTTTCCGTCTAACATTGACAATGTTCAATATTTGGTTCTAATGTTCAAATACGATTCAGAATATTTTTTGTAAGCCTCTAAATAATCAGTTTT